AATCAATGTCTGAAAACATTTGTTGTTGTCACAACTGGGGGCAGGGTGGGGAAGGATGGGGGTGGTCCTGCTGGCATCTTGGTGAACAGAGACTGGAGGTGCTAGGAGAGATCCCACCCCACTGCACTGACTCCCGTGACAAGAATGATCTGACCAGAAATGTCAGTAGTGTCAACACGGAGAAACCTAGGTACAGGGTGTGATAATTGCTATATTCAAAACAACTACCACGTTTGTAGTGTTTTCTGAGCCTGGCTGTGTTCTGTGGTCGAGATGGACATATATTACTATTACCCCTAGCTAGGTTTATGGGTTTGGGAAGGCTGAATTGCACCCTGATGTCAGTTAGAAGGAGGAGGGAACAGGCACAGAGAGCTGGGGGGATGGTGTGTGCCACCACTTGGAGGTGACAGTTAGGGACATCTGGGGAAATGCAGGCTGCTCATTATGGTGGAAGCTAGAAGGTGAGGGAGCAAGAAACTCCAGAAGAGGCTATGGAAATTGCAGAGTGGAAGCTGGAAAATGGATGGCATTGTACGACATTCTGAGGCACCTGGTTTTTGTTTCAAGGCTGTAGAAAACCAAAAATGGTTTTCATGTTTGGGTTTGTCTGTTTTGGAAGAGTACTTCAGTGGTTTCAAGAAGAACTCATTGGAAGGAGGCAACTGGAGATAAGTTAATTAGGAGGCTGTTGCAGCCATTTCATGTAGATTGAGTCAGGGAAGTGAAAGTAGGGATGGAAATATAAATAGTTGAATTTCAGAGATATTGGTGAGGTTGATTGGTTTGGGTGCCAAAGAAGGGGGGAGTTAGGGTCAGGTCATTGATTGTTGACGAGGGCAAGCATAGATAAAGCACACGCGCCCCTTCCCCAAAGGGAGGTATGTAAATCTTGTCAGCAGTACCTGCTCCTAGCTTCAAGCCCAGCAAATGAGGGGATGTCTCTCTTTTCCATCAGCTCTGGACAAAACCTATGGTCTGAAAGTTAAGCCAGCCATTGCAACACATTGGCACACAATGGGGGAGAGAAGACAGGGTTGCTGCAATAAAATCTGATAAAAAGGAGGCGAGAAGGGACATATCCATAGATACTGTGTTCCATCCCGTTGAATGAGACTTGCAAGACTCCTGCACACTAGCTGTGGTGTGGACTCCTGAGTTGGCCAGGTTGGCTGCTTTTGGTTTTGTTCTCTGAGAAGATCTCCCTTGTCCAGTGTCCTTTGTGGCTCATCTGGGTTGGGTGTATAAGTCATATTTCAGCTCAGATGTCATCTCCTCAGACAGCTTTTCTCTGACGTCTGAGTAGAAAGTAGGCATCCAGTTTTTAATCGCCTTGCTGGAGCTAGGGATAGGGCGTGTGTTAGTTATCTGCAGCATTCAGTTCATTTACGTGTTGTACTTTTTGTGCCTCCCTTATGCTGGAATGTAAGGTCAGGAGGGTGGGAAGGGCCTTGGCTGATGTGTTCAGTCTGAATCTCTAATACCTGGAATGGTATCTGGCTCAGGATGTTTTTTGAAAGAATGAGGAAATGAATGAGAGAGGAGAATAAAATGCTGAAGGAGGAACCGGTTTTTAAATTTTGTTGTCTGTGTTTTGGTGGGGAAGAGGACATTGAATTCAGTTTTGGATATGAGTTTTAGAAACATTGATATTAAATATAGACAGGAACATAGGCTTGTCAATAGGCCATTAAACATACAATAGGCACAGATGTCCAGCTGGCCATTAAACATGCAAAGTGAAGCTGAGGGAAATTACAGTAAAGGTCACTAACATGTACTGAGCTTTGCCATGTGCCAGTCTCTGTTCTTAGCACTTTACTGATCTTAGTAAAGTGGAGCTATCAATTTATGGAAGCACAAGCTGAAGCTATTGAGTGGTCATGTCCAGAGGGGGTGCCTGAGAATTAAATAGGGACAGAATCCCGAGGCACAGCAGCGTCTGAGAGGTGAATCAAGAAAAAGGCACAAGATCCTGGGGAACACTGGTGTTTAAGGGATGAATAAAGAAAGTGGTGACTCTTTGAAGAAGCAGCTACAGAGCAGGAGGGTTGGGGTGAGGGAAATCTGGGAGAGTGTGGTGTCTCTGAATCCAAGGAGGGAGGAGGGATTCCTGGATGTCTCACAGGTCTGAAAAGTGGCCGTGGTCTTCTGGATCGAATAAATGATGTTGGGAAGAGTTGTTTCCGGAAACCCTCGGGAAAGGAAATAGGTTGAGGGTTTGAGAATTTCAGGTTGCTGTCAGGAAGGAGCTAGTAGAGAGGGAGAGTTTGGAAATGCAGTGGAGGGAGAACACTGGTGCTGCCTGACCTGCTGGGGAGGTGGGAGTTGCTGGCAACTGAAGTGTTTGATGGAGGAACATTCTCAGACATAGATTTTAGTTTTTTTTTTTTTTTCCTGTAGAACCTTCTGATTTCCTTGTTCTGTAATTTTCCAACGGATCAAGAGGCTATTGAACTGTACAGGCTGCACGTTGCTTCCCTGGTTCATTGTCAGTGAAAGAACTGGGGACAGTAGGGCCTTGTCGGCTACAGCCACTGACTCAGCAGCAAGGACAGAGGTTCTGCGTTCCTTGCTTTACCTTCTTTCACTGGCATCAGCTGTTAGTTTTGTTTTTCCAGGTTACCTTGGCGTCCCATGGTTGCATTTTCACTGATTTCCCCTAAGCCTAGAATTTTGGTGACACAAAAGCTATCTTTCACAAGTAGTCAGGCCATCAGTAGTTGAGATGGTGCAGTAATATCTGCAACCAAACATTTAATAAAGAAAACCTAAATTACATCTGCATCTTATAAAATTGAAATTGCATCAACTTTTGTTTTTTCTAGTGACAGGTATTGGCTTTCTGGTTGGGAACATAGAGCTAGTGTTTTTGGAATATGCTTTCCAAATATAAAATGTGTCTTAGTTTCCTGATAATGTGGATTCTGAAACTTTTTATCTTGCTTTAGATTTTATGAATTTGTATCTAGTTTTAACATGCCCATAGATAATGGAGCCAGGTAACATAGACTAAGTACTTAAAAACAAGTGCGTTTCTCTGTGTCACATTTGAAAGAAAATATATTTTATGGAAATAATTAAAAAACTGACTTGGTTATTTGAAAATAGTTTCTCATAATTGTCATTATATACTCTGAAGCCTAAGATGTTATCTTGTTTGATAATCTGTTTAAAAAAGTTTACAAAAATAGTTACCTGTAGGTTTTTGTTTTATAACTAGCCTCCTCCATCAAAGCTAATAGTTATGTTTTCAGTGAAGTGAAGAGTAGTCAGCAGAGTATCCTGACTAGATGTTTGATTCTTGCTGAAGCAAAACTGCCTTGCAAATCTGGGAAAGGCTAGATAGGGAAGATGGATGGTTTAGGAGGCGAGGCATATTTGTACAGTGTCCTATAGGGTGGTAACATTTGGAACTCAGATTTTCAGTAACTCCATAGAGTTACATGACGGATACAGTAGCACGTAGCTCCCTCAATGATTCAGCCTGTTGGCATTTCTTAGCTTTTTGTCATCAAGATTTCTTTACACTCTTAAAATGTATCGAGGACCCCAGGAAGCTTAATATTTGCTATATTACAGATTAAAAGTGATAAAATTGAAAATATAAATTCATGAAAAATACCAAAAATAAATTCATTATAAAGAGCGTATATTTATGAAAAATAATATTGTACAACATCATGAAAAAATATCATTGCTGTGTATTTTTGTCAATCTCATTAACATCTGGCTTGATGAAAGACAGCTAGATTCACAAATGTGCTTCTGCATGCAGTCTGTCTTTTGGAATATTCCACTGTAAGCCATGAGAGAATGAGAGTAAAAAAGACAACTCATATTTTAGTAGTATTAAGAAAACATTTTTGAACTCATGAACTCCTGAGAGGATTTCAGGGACCTCTTGGCAGGAGTTGAGTGGGAGGGGGGTCCCTGGACTACACTTTGAGAACCACTGGACGAAGCTATATATGTTTCTTGATGACCATTTCCTTGGTTTCCTTTCTTCTGCCCCTTGGGGCCTGGTAAAATATTCTTTATGTTGACTCCTCAAATGTGTTTACTGATTTAAATTTCCTCTATAAAATTCCAGGGGAAGGAACCATCCAGTGAATCAGGCCTTCACTTCCCTTTCACGATGCCTTTCCCCTTAATTAGTCATGCTGTAAGAATCTATCTCACTCCTTTGACTCAGCCGCCGTAGAGGTGCCACCAGACTCTTTTTACGATGCCTGATGACATTGTAGACTGGTTACAAATCAAGATAAGTTGTTCAGGAAAAAAATACTCCCTTTGCAGTACAAAGAATTCTAGGAAGTCTTGGAGGTTGCTGGGAGAAAGAAACTAGAATTGTTTCCTAGAAACGGAGTGGAAAAGTCTTTGGAGAAGTTTTTGGGGGCCTCGCTGGCACATGGGATCCACTCTGCTCTCCAGGAAGCGTATGCCATCTTCTAGTTCGCATTTCTGCACCAAGGCAGTGGCAGGTGGCCCGAAGAGTGAGTGGGAAGCAATAATCAGCTCTCCAAGTAACAGCATTTTCATTTGCTAAATGTTATGTTAATGTTCTCCAAACTGATGGTAGAATTATACAAACTTAGGCTGAAAATATGCATACTGTTCATATTAAGTTTTCAGACTTCTGATAAAATGTAGGTAAATAATATCAAAAAGTATCTTAAAAATTACACAGCAAATTTTGTATAGAACAAATATGTGTACAACTGACATTTACATTGGAACAATTTTATTAGCTACGTCAGAAAAATGCCTGCATGAGTATAGTAGCATAAAAACAGTTGCTTTTGCATTTACCTTGCAAAGAAATGGAAGCAGCAACATTTTAAAAAGAGCATGAGTTTGTGTGCTTTATCTGGATGAGTAGTGGCATTTTCTAACTGCTTGCCTCTCGGGCACGTAAGTCATCATGGTACATTCTTACTAATAGACTTTGAACTTCTCTCTCTGTCCTTTTCTTCTGGGCCGTATATTGCCGCCTTTAGCGCTTCAGCATGGAAGGGATCTCAAATGTCATTCAGAATGGCCTCCGCCACACCTTTGGAAATTCAGGTGGAGAGAAACAGGTGCTCGGTTATCCTTATTTTCCTCATTCTCTGCTTTTTCATTTCCTGTGTAAGTGAAGATCCTGAAAGCTGGTAGTTTTACTAATTTACTAAGACCATTGCTTAAAGAGAGAAATAAAAGTTTAGTATAAAAGTTCATTATGTTTATAATCTTGATAATGAACAAAATTTCCCTTTGAGGAAAAAGCATTTTTCAAATTGGATAATAGATTAAATGCATTCTTAATACATGTTTTAGAGCTCCATTTCTCACTCTTAGTTTTAAACAAATAGACATTAACATTTTAACATATTGTATTGCATGTGTAGGAAATCTGCTTGTTGAAAATAACTAAACTAAAATATGTGACTCTAATTCTAAAAGTCTAAGAAGCAAGATGTCATTTTTGGGGGAGGAAGGCCAGAGGTTGGTACGTTTGAGACTAGAGTTCTAGGTCAAAAATATGTATAGAGTATATCTTACCTCCTTTAAATGAAATTCATGTGTTTTTAAGGTGTATTGCATAGTCAGCCAACTCAAGTTGTCTGCCAAGCGAGGCATGAGACATTATTTATACAAGATTATACATAGATATGAATGTATAATCAAGTATCTAGCAATTTGCTTTTGATTCACATTTTTGTATACTGATTGAAGGAATATCACCAACATGGGAAACGTTCACATGAATGGGTATGCTTCAAATTACCTTTCGCTATATGAAATTTTCACCTTAAAAGAGAAAGCTCTTTAAGTTAGCTCTTCTGTGCAGACTAAGAAGGTGTACAAAATGTAGCTTGTAGGAAGTTTAGCAAAAGAATGCCTAGATCAAATGCCTGGAGTTTTTACTGAAGGTAGTTATGTGTTTCTCAAAAAGGGGGATCATTCCTATTAAAGAGGGAAGGTTCACATGGACATCTGCAGCTCATCAGTGAGCTCCATGAAGGGCTGTTTGAATTTTGGTTTTCATTCCGGTGCCTCTCACCTCTCTCAACCTCACAAGAAGGCAAGGAATCTTCCAGACTCCACTGAGTGGAGCAGGGAGGTCTGAAAACACAGCCAGGTAGCCAGAGAGCGGGCCAGGGCGCAGCCTCCTGCTGCCTCTCCAGGTTGCCTGACACGTGCAGAGTGAAGCCAGGAGGACATCATTTCTGGCCTTTTGTTGTTGTTGTTCTTTCCAAAGAAACATTCGATTATACAATTGGGCATCACCTGCAAGAAGTCTACATCAAAAAGATGGTGGAACACTTAAGTGCCTCCAAGATTGAACTATGCAGTTTTACCAGTTTTCTGGACTTAGGGATCCAGTTATTGTAAAGCAGCTTTCTTTATCCTGTTTTTCAGTTATGGGCAGGATAAGATCACTCAATGAGGATTAGAGCTGAGATTTAGGGCACGAGGTTAAATCATGGGTGGAGCTAAAGAGATTCCAGGTGAAAACCACTGGCTTTCTATATGAGCACATGTGAAATGCATGGAACTATTTTTTTGGTGGGATGGTAAGAGTAGGAGAATCTGGACAATCATTTATGGATTATGCTTTCATGGGATTAGTTATAAGACATGGCGCTGTTACTTGTGAGCCTTTACAAGTAGTGAACTAGGAAGTTTGTGTCAATTTCAGACATGAATTTTCATTATTCATTTCCCCTTAGGCCATTCTCTACTTTCGCTTTTCTCCTTTAATACCTAAAAACGTTTATAATGACTTACCCAATAATTTAAAATAATAGTAATAATGCATTTCTAAAATGATTTAAGTGTGTCTTTGTTAGCTTCTGCAAGAAGCTAGTGTGTGTTTTTCAAAGTTGTCGTGTTATATATGTGGACCATTTGTTCAACCAGAATAAAAATGGTCTGAAACAGAATTATTTGCTGTTGGAAATTACTTTCTTGTGTAGAACTATTAAAACTATGTTTTTAGTTTAAATTGCTATTTTTAAAATGTGTTGAAAAATATGCAAGGAGAATGTGAGATAATACTTTAAAAATGAACAAATTGAGTAAATCATCCTCAGACTTAGTCCTATGAAATTTTCAATAACTGAAATGCAAAAAAGTGGTTGTTTCTGTTGACACTAGGTTTGTGTGAAGCAAATAGAGATGGGCAAAAAAAAAAATGAGCTCCATCTGAGATAGTAAGATACCTTTATTCCCATACAATACCTGTGTTTTCATTACCAAAGTAGCTTATGTTTTTATATTATGAAATAGACCTTCTAGTAACAGTATCAAATTTTTTGGAGATAAGGTAATTCCGATTTAAGTGACATATATATATATATTTTTTTAACTTGGCAGTATTTGACTACAGTCATTCCTTATGAGAAGAAAAACGGACCACCATCTGTTGAAGATCTTCAAATATTAACAAAAAGTGAGCAAAGACAAAATGAAACTATTACCTGATTTACTTTTGCTGATGAGTAAACACCTGACTTTAATTGGCTGATTTTGTTGTTAGTGTTTTGTCAATTTAGGATATAAATGATGCATATAATTGTTTATTTTTATAAGAATGAAGCCAACAATGGCTGTGACATTGAATACAACAGTAACTCTAGGGTTGATTTGTGGTTTTTCTGTTTTTCTGACCTTGTGAAATATTTATGAGCTAAACTTTTGGGAAAAAGCATAACCTGAATCTCCATCATCTCTTACGTGTTTGAGAACGTATCCATTTATCATAAATAAAATTCTTCATGGATCTTATATGACTGTCAGTAACGGAATAGGAAAGATTTAGGGTAAACACTTTTTATTTCTTATGAATGTAGAACCCGAGGGAGTAATTATAGGTAGAATATAAATTGACAGTGATGTTTTAAGAACATGCGTTCAAGGCCGGGCGCAGTGGCTCACGCCTGTAATCCCAGCACTTTGGGAGGCTGAGGCGAGTGGATCATGAAGTCAGGAGATCGAGACCATCCTGGCTAACACGGTGAAACCCCGTCTCTACTAAGAATACAAAAAATTAGCCAGGTGTGGTGGCGGGCGCCTGTAGTCCCAGCTGCTGGGGAGGCTGAGGCAGGAGAATGGCGTGAACCCAGGAGGCAGAGCTTGCAGTGAGCCGAGATCACGCGCCACTGCACTCCAGCCTGGGCGACACAGCGAGACTCCATCTCAAAAAAAAAAAAAAAGTACATGCATTCATTCGGTAAATATTTGGTGAAGGCCTACTGTGTACCAGGCCATGATCTGGGCACTTGGGATACTTTAGTGAACAAAGCAGACAAAAATAATCCACCTTCAAGGGGCTTGCATTAAAAAAAATTGTTAGATTTAAATATGTATGATACTGAGTATCTCTTATGATAGCCACGAATGAGCACTGAATTCTGGTTCTATCCCCGTTATTTTCAGGGATATCCTTGGAAGTTACTTATTCTCTTTTGCTCACATTGAAACAGTAGCATAAAAAATATTTGTTCTTTTTACTTCCCAGTAAATAGATTAATATATGTATGATTTCGGCTAAGTTACTATCAATTAGCCTTGTTGTCACTGCTGTTAAAATGAAGGGATTGAATTTTGCTGATCTGTTAGGTCTTTGTGATGGTAAATATTTGTGATACTTGCTAATTAGGGGGGAATGAAATGAAAGAGCATCACATGGATGAGTATTGATGACGATATTTATTTCGGAAATTCAAGATATGGAGGAATGGGCAAGGAAAACCTAAGAGTAGAAGCAAGTATTATGTTTCTTAGTTCCCTGCCTGCTAACTCGGAGCTTTTATTCTTTCCTTTGGTGAATAATTCTTCAAAAAGTTTTATATTTAAATATGGATAAATCAAGTGATGCCAGCCAGTCTGAAATAAAAAATCAAGAGATTAACTGGGTAGCCAGCCCTCTTATTTTCAGGAAGAACTTCTGAAGTTATGTGTGTCCAAGATCACACAGGGGGATGGTTAATTACAGAGCTGGGCCTCTTAATTCCCAGGAAATGATACTTTTAATGATGCTGGGTTTTGGTATGTGATTTTATATAGAAGTTAGAAAAAATTTTAAACATGATTGGAAGCAGAAATACTGAACATGGTAGCCCTCTAAAGAAGGGAACATAAATGAATATTGCTCATAAGCCAGGAATTACTGGCAGGCCTCAGCTTCTCAGATCAAGAACAAATACTTCGTTGGTCAAACTAAAGTCATCATCTACTTCCAGCACCGAGATGTCTGTATAGGTTGATAGAGTTTGGAATCTTTGGACATATTCGGGTCCAAAGCTCCTTTTCTTTCCAAAAGAAGAGCCCTGTGGAGACAGTCACAGTGTTTATGGATATATAGTCTTCCTCCTAAAAGCTATTAAGGGATTCTGGGTATAATAATAGTAATAGAAACTTTAATAATATTAGTAGTGTTAGTTACAGTTAATACATAGCATGTACTATGTGCCAGGCACTACGATATGACCTTTGTATCTGAATTAGTAGCTTAGTCCTCATTCACAAACCTTTGAGATTAAATCTAATTATTATTCTCATTTCACAGAGGAAGAGCTTGGTACAAAAGTGGTTAAGTAGCTTGCTCAACATCACACAATTAGGAAGTGGTAGAGCCAGGGTTTAAAACCCAGGAAGGCTGATTTGACAGTTACACTATTTTGCCTTGTCGTATCGGTGGGGAAAAACAGTGAAATATTTTTACCAGGATGCTTGGGAGAAAATTTGAGTGGGCAAACTCTGTTAAAGTGTAATATTTGTGAGTTTATCTTGACCTGAATGATCTAGCTTAAAAAAGAAAAACATTATACTAGGTGGCTGTTTTTTCTATTTTAGTTTTTACTTAGAAGATAAAATTGTCCAATTAGGATGAGGTTAATTCTCCCAGGTTCCTCCCCTGGTGCAGAGGCGTCAGCCAGGCAGATGCCAGGTGCTGCTTCATGGAAGTCTGTTCTTTATTTGGGTCTTTTCTTTGAAAATTTCAAGGAGTCCGACAGATATGCTTGTTGGAGGGTATAGCTAACTTTCCATTTCTCTGAGAGTTTCTCTAGTTTGCTTGATCTACAGCACTGAGGTCCTCTTGTTGCACCGAGTTCATTGAGGTGCACGTTACCGTAACCCACTTTCCAGTATTATTATAGAGTGAGGCTCCTTGTAAATAACCCGGGTCCTCTTTTTCGCCTCCACTGTTTGGAAATTTTAAACCAGGGAAGTAACTCTCAGGTAAGCAGGATATTCTTACCTAAAATAAATTCTTGTAAACTTACTCCACTAAAATAAATCATTGGGCCTTTATTGTTGTATTCCTTTATCAGGAAAATCACCTATAATTTGCATGAGTCAGTTATATCCTATAATTAAGGAAGATGAAGGCCACAATGATTGAAATTAAATAATATTTTTGATCTGGATTTTTAATCGTTGTCTTTTCCCCCTTTTCTGTTTTGCAGTTCTTCGTGCCATGAAGGAGGACAGTGAAAAAGTTCCGAGCTTGTTAACTGATTATATTCTGAAAGGTGAGTTTTATAATGGTATAGGTGCGATGGCCGGGAGGTTTGGATTAGTCAGAAAATACATCGTCTTGCTAATACATTCGATAGTAACTTCCCAATGCACAACTTTCATTAATCTTGTTATGCAGGGTGAGGATTAGCTACATGACTGACTTCTGTCAACATTCTATATTATGGTTTTATAAAATTTAACTTTTATTGGAGGTTTTGGGCTGGAAATAATCTCCACAGCTAAACTATAAACATCGAGGGAGGTAGTAGAAGAAAATGAGTGAGATGGCGCCATAATCATGTGGGTATCAGATGTTGGCAGGTTGGCACTGGGAAGCTTGAGAAGGGTGGTCTCTGTCATCTTGAGGACAGTGGAGAGGAGGAGGACAGATCATTAGTGAGGATGGATGAAGGAAGTCACATCTGTGAACAGTGCCAAAGGGAATACGAAAGGGACTGATGTAAGGCACAGGGAGGGAAGCGGGGAAATAAAAAGAATGGACTTTCATAAACCCAGGACAGTGAAACACCAGCCACAAATCTTAGAGGCAAGATGAGGCTCACACAGGATGGGAATATTGATGAGGCAAAAGAAGAGTGAGAGGTTGAGTTACTTTGCTGAGGAAAGAGCAAAATTTGGATGATAAAGAAGGGACGGAAGAACTTTAGAAGCAAAATTAATACTTTTCAATGAAATATTTTTTAAAGTAGCAGGTATTCAGAGACCAGATTTTGAAAGCATCACAAAATCCATCTGGTAGTGTTTGATCAAATTTTGAGAGCAATCCTCTTTTAGTAACAGTCTTCTTTGGGTTCTTTCTCTTCTCCATTAAAGTTAGCTGAGCACAAGGAAGATGAAGATTTCTGAGACATTAGAAATCTCAGATGGACTTTTCTTAAACCATAGTGTCTTGAAAGGGGAACCTCAGTAGTATACTCAGGGTGCTCAAAGTGAATCACACGTTTCACTTTTAAGAGTCTTGATGCTGTAAGGGCTAAGAAGCATGAGCTAGCCATTAGTGGGTTAACACTGGGGTAGAACAGACTTGAGTTGACATCATTTTAAAAAATAAGCTGTTTTTCTGATGGAGGATTTTCTCCCTATTAAATTCTGATTTTTTTTTTTTTTTTTTAAATACCTGACATCTTTGTTTGCTTTTGTGTTGTGCTAGCATTGGTATGAAAGCTGGATTGTTCTGAGGTTTGTTCTTCTGGATATGAAACAGGAATGAGATGAACATAAAGAACATGTCTTAAATTTTAATTATAGCGGGTCCCTATGGCTCTGTGAGGGCCAGAGATGGAATGAGCTTCTGAAGCATTCTCTAGCTATGTTAGCATTTAACTGCATGGAAGGATGTTATGACCCAAAGAACAGAGTCCTCTGGGGGAAAATGATTTTTAATTCTTTACTCTGAAAACCTAGGACTGTCATTGTGAACGTACCTATACCGCATGCCTTAGGGAAGCAGCACCCATCTAATTCTGCTCCTCATGCTCGGGCCGCTGGCTCCTGTCTGTAAGCCCAGTTCTATCTATACTGTACCTGCTTCTGATGCGCTGTCTGTGTGCATGTGTTGTGGTTTCGTCTTGGCTTTGTATTGTGAGGACTGGGTGGAAAAGCAGCGAGGATCCAGACTACAGCAGAGACTGCAGTAGAGAAAACGAAGACGGGAGTGTCATGCGGAGATGTATTTAAGTGTGTGGGAAGGTGGTGAAGTGGGGTCATTGAAAATGCTCTTTTCCACCCATCCTGAAAGTTCACCGCTGGTTAACTGTTCCTCCTCCTTGGGGGCCAGTCATAGGACACTTGGCCTGGGAGGGGGATATTGCTCAAGGGGGTAATACTCCTTCCCCTTTTTTGGCTAGTTTGTTGTTGTTTTAACAGATGAGTGTGGCTTGGCTGCCTAAATACACCATCTTAGTTTAAATGCAAACGTCCGAAGTGAAAGAAGGTAGAAAAGTGGTCTCATTTGGCCTGAGAAAGGGAGTAGGGTGGGCACTGTCTGTGCTAATTGAGCTTCTCCTTCTCACACCTGCTTAATGACCCCACTGCAGCCTGCCGCCACTGCCGCCTTGCCGGTAGGACCCAAGGCTCATTCTGAAGTAATGTACGCGTGGCTGCTGCCGTGCTGATCTAGTTAGGAATAAAAATGTGTGCAGAAACTTGCATCCTTCTTTGACTTCCTAGGGAGCCTGTTTGCCGTGTCACAAGCCTCATGGTATAGGGCAAATGTTAGGGGCTTCTTTCTCCAAGTGGCACCCTAAGAGACATGGCCTTTTGGTATCTCATTTCTGGGAAATTCTGTGTGTTGAGAGAACTCATCCTTGTTGGGTATAGCCTCTTAAAACCTTTAAAAAATTGCTACAATCGATCTTTGCATTAACATTTAGTTCTCATTACTTAATGTTTTTAAATGTACATGTAAAATGTATGTTTTGTGTAAATGTATACAAAATATACATTTTTACTTAAAAGTTCTCTTTTCCTTCTAGTTCTGTGTCCTACATAGAGCAGCAACTTTATCTACGGTGGGCTCCGAGCTAGATTTCCTACAGCATTATTCTGAAAGCTGGCTACCATTACCTTCTTGCTATTGGAAACTCAGCACATTTGAACTTGGGTTTGATTTAGTATTAACAGATCTTGACTTCACTAATTCTTTATATTATAGAACCAACGGAAATATGGGCACTATTTTGAATTCTAGAGATGGTTTTTGTTAAATCTACTAATAATTATGAACTGTTCTCTTAGAGTAAGAGAGTAATATTAATTGTGCATGTGCAGTTATATTTCTCATTAACTGACAGTATGCCCATTTGTTTTTATGGCTTTCTAATCTAAAGTGCACTGATGGACTAGATTAAAGCCTTGGGAGATTTATACTATAAATTCAGTGATGGCAAGAACCAACACTGATTTTTGTGAGAATTGTCAGTATAAATATTACCTACCAGTATTGTTCAGAGAGATTGAAACATAATAAACTTGGGCTGCTCTTGAAGAAGCAAAACCAGAATATGCATTACTTTGGCTTAATACTTAGTGAACATTGGAAACTGTTGGTGATGATAGATTTTGTCGCTTGCTGCTTGTTTAACCATTGGTCAGATTTTAACCATTAAATTGCCATTCCTTTTAGAATCTTGTACTGTTTTTGATTTTCACATGTTTTGCTTCAGGTGTCTGTGAAGAATTGTACTTTAAAAGTTCGTATCCTCTGAGGTGCTTGACAAAGTGTACACTGCAGAATTGCCCATTCTCATTACGGTGTCGTATTTTATTCATGCCTGTGTGTTTTTCTTAAGTATGAATTCTAGATACAGCTACTTATGGATTCATCAATATCATGAGGACTTTTGCTGGTTCCAATCAAATCAATGGCATTTAATAAATTTTTTAAGAAGTAAAAATATGTTTGAGAGCCTTATATTTGGGATTTTGTGTTGTATTTTTTTTTTCCTTACAGTACTAGATTCTTTCCCTTAATTCCACACAGAGCCCATTGCTACAGTGTGTGAGCAGATGAAACCCTGATTAGTCCCAGAATGCTACAAAGGAGGGGTTTTTTTTTTTTTTTTTTTTTTTAGAGTATGCTGAGCTGCTGTGGAGTGACAGAAGTCCTGCTCTTTTTCTGGGGCTGTGAGACATTTCAAACAAACAGCCATGCAGCCTTTCCCATAGACGACATGGGACCTGCTATAGGAAGCTTTCACAATTCCACTTAAACACCGGTGAGCAAACAGGGCTATACATATTCCTCACTGCACTCAGCAACTGAGACGCCATGACTGCCAAGGGCAGGGGCTCGGTTTGAAGTTTAATGCCTGCTTGGCATTTCAGCCGTCATCTCTAGGGGTATGAGAAACTTGAGATGGTTTCTTATTTTATTAACGTTCTTATGTGGAACTTACTGGCCCTTTCCCCAGATACACACATACCCAGTAATATTAATAATTTAATTTGATGTGAATTTGTAAAAATGATGCCTTGTACTGAAGAAATGTAGCTTTAAAGGGTATATGATGTAGCAGAAAGTCCTTAGGGGATGTATTTTTTAAAGGAGATTCAACAGTGGTCTGTTTATAGCTCATTCTTAAATTGATGCTTCTAAAATGTATGAAAATATACCTGTTTTTTCCTATCAGCTCAAAGTCTCTTTGTAGTCAGGCTTCCCCTGATTTTGCTTGGTAAAGTCTTTCTTCTTCAGCATCGAACCACTGTAGGGTTTCCCACCACAATCCTCCTGTGCGTAGCAAGTTAATTTTGATACTAGTTACGAGCACGTTTCTGACAGCAGGTGGGTTTCTTGTCTCCCTAAAAACAGCACCGCGATGCTGCGTACTCTGGGAGACACTTTTCTTTTTGCAAGGATTCCTTGGGAAAGACCCGCCTAACGACAGAGGCACGGGGACTTCTTGTGACACCAGAGGTTCATTGGACTGATAACCTTAAAAGGACAATTTGTCTTTCGGATCCCAGAGATGGAATCTTTTTGGAAGTTACACTGTGTGATTTCAACTCACAATGTTTATTTCCTGCCAAGAATCAGGTTGCAGATAATTCTCTTACAGCTTTGTGTGTTTTGAAGAAAACAAAAGCAAACTGTAGAGCTATGGTGCACTCCAAGTGCCATATATCTGTTTTATTCTTCAGGAAATTAGATTTGTTTTTCTTTTACAAGAGCACAACAGGAACCAAAGTAAAAGAGTAATAGATACAGCACTCAGGATAAATCATATCTTTAAAATAATAATAAAAAAATTTACACCTTGTCCTATATCCTGTTAGTATTTTCATAATATGGCCATGATTGAAAAAACAAAAAGCAAGCATCTACAATTTTTTTTGATAAAGACTTTATGCCAGGAATGGATTAATTATCAACAAAATTCATACTAATCAGGCTGATGTCAATCGATTTTGGTAACATATCATTAACAAATTTATTTTGGAAAAAGATAAAAATATTGCCCCTTGATAATAAATCTTTTTTTCCTTTGATGCAAACAGCTAGAACACCTTTTTCTTTTTCTTTTTGATATTCTAAGACAAAAAAATGGTTAATCTTCAGATTAATAAATTAGGTCATTATAATAATAAATTAATTTTTTTTAAAGTTCAGCAACCTCTGTCCAAGTATTTACAACAATACTTGAAAGTTCCTTTACAAAACAGAACACATTTTCTTTTCACATTAAGCATACTGGGTATCTGTGTCTTTCACAACAAGCATTTTTAAAAGAAAACTCAATGCACAAATGGGTTAATTAGTATAAAAGTGCTAAGGGCTGTTTGAAAAGTTAACACTATAGTATACAGTCAGTTATATTTGAGGCATACTACAACAAACTTCCAGCTTATTGTGGACAATATTCCAGTAGTTGTTTCAAACCATTGTTTGAAAAAAGAAAAAAAATCCAGGAGCTGATTAGTGATGCAGATAAGAACTGTCATCAGTGTCTCTGGCCAGTGAGCAAATTGAAAACCAACTGAAAGCAAATCCAAATGAGGAAGATTTTAATAAAGGAATACCCTTCTCCATAGCAGGTGCAATGCTGACTGCTCAAGGCGTGCGTGCACACACACACACACATACATACTCACACACATCTTTCCAATTAAACTGCAGGTAGAATGAGATTTTGTGTTATTCAAAAAAATTTGTAAGTGATCAAAGCATTGATATGGAATGCCTGTTTATCTGCCTTTGTTCTGGTTAAAATCTCAAAAATACATTCAACAGGAAAACATAAATTGTATGTGTATAAATATATATGTGTATATATATTATATACACATGCACACAAATACTTTTGTTTTTTGAAGCATAGATAGTTACATAAATACTCCTATAATTGCTAAAGTTTAAAGAGGCATCATTTTTTTTGAGCTTCAACAAAGGTGCTTGAATAATATACAATTAAAATGAAGTAGTTTCTATTTTGTAGAATCAGTATATAATTAATAAGGAAAAAGAATCCCCAAACAGTCTTTTTAAAAAAAGTTTCTTCTTAAGCTAGAGCTTCAACAAAAACTATGAACAACCAACAATATAACAGAACAAAGCAACAACAAACAGTGAAATATAGCCCCTGGAAATGCCTGGTGTTCGCCACCCTCTCCCTCCTTCCTGTCACGTTGTTGTAAGAAAAGCTCCAGTGCTCACATCAAGAAATGACTTAGATCTTGTTCATGTGCTGACTCTGCTAGGAACTGGCTGATTGGCTTGGAAGAAAATAAAAGCAGCAAAAAGTATAACTGTATATATCCTTAATAACCCGCTTTAGAGAAATGTTGCTATCGCATTTCTCTGGCTTCCTCACTGCCTACTGCAGCTGTGACTGTATAGAAAAGAAACTTGTGGCTTTAGACCTGGGATGGCTGTCAAAAGGTTCTGATGTGCTCGTCTGGTAGTTCTAAGGTGGTTATGGCAGCTGGGTCGCAAGGCCTTTTTTGTTTCCTGCTCATTCAGGCCTGAGCTTTGCAGCAACCAGTGCAGTCTTCAGAGCAATAGGAAAAAAATATCCTTGGGCCACTGAACTGCTTTTACGTTACCAGGTTTCTCCCCGAGCCAAGCTGACCAATTTTTCTTCCCGACACCACCCTCCCACCCATTTCCCCATCGAAACTCACTGTCCCCACCCCAAATATCTCTACAGCTATCTTACAGGCAAATATATCTTAGCAACTTTAAAAACTTTGGTTCTAAGAAAACGCTTGGTCAGTTATCTTGAGGAAAAGTGGGAATGCTTGTTCTGCACATTGCTGTAGACAGAGCCCATCCCAGGAAGGTCTTAGCGCTGTACATCAAGTCACAATCCAATACAATCCACTAAGCAAGTGCACAAATTCTAGTTTACTTTTTAGAGCAGATTGAGTCATCTTCTGTCTTTTGAAACCGCAACTGAGTTGCCTCTCTTCACACTGTCTGGTAGAAATTGTCTGCCTGTAGATGGTTCTGTTTTTGCATGCTGTAGAAGCCACTGAATCTTGCATCTGGTTCTGCAATTCTTAGCATTCTCTGGGAACTGTCCACCTGGACTCTGGTTCCTTTCTTGCAGTCCACAGATACTAGCTGATTGTTTAAGGAAGAAGGCTATTTAATGAGAGGAGGAATAAAACCACAAAGAATTAGCTGCTTTACACTATCGCAAATGAACAGAAATTTAGTACCTAACTCAGATTTCATTGACAGACTGTGTGCAGAGTATCACATCCTGTTCTAGTACCAACTATACTTTTATGAAGGACACTGACAAACTGTATTTAAAGGTGAAATGTCAAAAAACTATGTCAAATAGGAAGATAAAGGAACTGAAAAAAAAAAAAAAAAAAAAGACTGGTGAAATGATTTCAAATCCGTGAAGTGCAGACCTGTGTTTAAAGGGGGTTGAAGAATGAGTGGAAGGTAGGCAGATTTTAAAAACAAAGGGATGATTTCTAACCACTCAGACTGTAGAACACCATCGTAGCCTGGGCCAGCCTGTGTGTTCCTAGTCATTCCATACACTTTATGAGTGGGTCTGTTTCCCAGCTTTGGACATTGGCAACTGTATCCTGACCCAGTATAGAGGCTGTGCCCGATGCACATTTGTTCAAAGGAAAATCGGAGGCAGGATAACCGCAGGACAGAGTTTTTACATGGAAGGGTTAACCAGACGGTAAATTATATTACATAATTGTTCAGGCTGTTTCCAATTCTTAAGGTTGTATGATTAAAATAAACCAACTCAAGGCAAAAGGCAGAATCAGAGTTGGAAGGGATTATGATTTATTTCCCTTAATACAGGTTTTTCTTATCTTTCAAAATAGGCAGATTTAGAGGCCCTTTACATTTGTACTGAAAACAAATATATTTTCTCCCGTAATATGAAATCTGCCTCTCCCTACCTTGTCTACTATTACTTTCCACCACCTCTTCATCTTTTGTGACCTTTCCACTTGGTGCTTGCCTTTGATGCATTGACCTGTCCTTTTGCCCTTTGTATACCCTCATGATCTTCCAGCCCTCTCCTATTATCTCCCTCCCTTTGTGACTTCTTTTCCCTCTCAATTCTAAGTTGACTGATGACTGATAAATGCCAGGTGATCAAGTTTAATGTCTAATATAAAGAATGATTTAGGAATAAATCCAGAGGTATTTGTTCATTTGAAAACTTTAGAGTACCTCCAGAAAATTGGATCCATGTAAGGTCAGGATTCATTAACCAATGGATAAAATTCACCTTGTGATAAGTCCAACCCTGGGCAAGTACTATATATTTGATTCATACTACAGCCTGGTATGGATTTGAGGCTATGAATAGCAAAGTAAAAATTTCACTGGTTAAGACACAAGGTTTCAAGCAATTTCAATATGCGTGTAAGTTTTCCTAGATTTATCATTCAAGAGACTTTTTCAAGACAGTACCTTAGTTGGTGTTCGATACCAGCAAAGCAGTGGTATCCACTGTTTCTTCTGATTGATGAATAGGAATGCTATTATAATAGACAGGCATATAATTATGGGAACCACAACTGAGGCAATGGAGTCCAGTGAAGAATCTTCACTTGGGTGCAGTCTGTTATCTCTGTAATCTACCTGGAGGTGACCCATATCTAGGAGAAGAAAAATTACAAGCATTTATTACCTAAACCGGAATTGTTCAGGATTATTTTAATGACATTGCAAACAGAGATCGGCAACTTGGTTTTATTGCTTCTCAGTTTTTTCAGGCTAAAAATGTGATTAAAATCTAATTTTGATCCAAAGAGCTCTTAGTAGAGGGCAGAGCGCTTAGGGATGAATGTTAAAAAAAAAAAATCAAAGTGACAATAATTGGGTAAGATGATGCCGGCTCTAGCTAATAAAATAAGGTGCTTAGGTAGATTTTGAAAAAGTGAATTAGACCATTAAAATATTTTGATTACTATTAACATATATGGTCTCAGATTTCGAAGGAGAAACATTAGCTGATCTTGCTTACTAGCAAACGGGACTAGAACAAAGTATATTCTCTTACCTACTAGTGTAATAACTAAGACTAATTAGATCAAAACTAATCAGAATCAGGAGGCTGGTCTTTTGGTTGATACTCTGGTTCACTGAACTCTAAGCAATATTGTCTTACTTTTCATGAACTTGTTGAAAATCTTGCTTAGGCGTATTAGATCGTTTTTCTGCCTTAATGAATTATATTGCATAGATGACTACATTTAGTTTTGCACTTATGAATGACGACCTTTATGTTCTCTTAAAATATCTTGCAATGTATGTTGCAGACAGAAATAAGGTTAAGTACATACCAGTAGGGGGCACTCCCTAAAGTTTCCTTATTTTTATTCTATTTTGAAATCACTGTGTCAGGTTTTCTAAATCCATTAACAGTCAGTTTAGTGAAAGACACATGACACACAATGTCGAAAGGAGTTACTCTCAAATTGTTCTGGAAATTCAGCTCATGAAGTGACAGAGCTTTGTGGTATGTAAGACTGTGGTGTAAAACTCAGATTTTAAATGATATATGCTTCCGTGTGTGTTCTGGAGGGTGGTGGGAGCAGGGAGGAATGGGAGGCAGAAAACATTCCTAATCATTTTAGCTGGTGCAGATGGCAGTAAAGCTTTACAGAAACATATTTATCAGCATCAAGAAAAATGTCAAAGAGTAACATTTTATTGATGAATTCAGATTTTAAATACACAACGAATAAAAGAATGAATTTTACTTTCCCATATTCCAAATGAAATAGAAGTTTTAGGAATATGTGTCATACAAGAAGAATAAGATATAAATTAAGGAAGGTCTCGGTGAAAGAAAAATGAAGCTGCAAGTGAGGTCTGTTTACAAAATTCAGTCTTCCGGTGCCGTTTCTGTGCTAAAACCAAGCCCTAAAAGTTAGCTTTGAGCTTTGTAGCAGCCAAAGCCAAAAATGGAAACAACTATCAGTCTTTAATAGGATTCACAGTGTCTTCTAGGTTAAAACAAATCAGTTGCCTAGGAGAAGTATACATTTTCTTGCTATTGACGCATGAGAAAATTTCTCTTCAGGGGCTTTATAACATAGATACTATGCAATGCACAGGTCTTCAACATACTGTAAGTATGGCTATACTTATGACCGAAGTCTAGCCTCTAGAACAGGGCCTGGCATACAGCAGGCACTAATATTTACTGACTGACTGAATGTAAGCATAATGCTAAAGCACGTTCAGTCAGAACAATTTTACAGAGAGCCAAAAACACTAGGCCCAGGAAATTGGCTTTCTGGTCATCTGGCTTGATCCGAGCATAAGGTTTAGAATATCTAGAGTCACAGACAAGTAATCTCTCAAGCAATGAATATTGCTTCTTCCAAAAGAAATATAAAAATTATATAGCAATGATTTGGAAAATATGGTTGGAGTAGACAGGAGGCAGTACTGAGTCACGGCTAAGAGCTAGTTTATACCACTGATCAAGAAGAGGTCTACTTTTATAGAAAAGGAAATATTAACAGCTATTGGGAGACAAAATAACATCTTTATTACACACAAACTGAAAGGATAGAGCAAGAAAAAAAGGCATGGAGTAAACCTGGTGACTGGAAAAATCAACATAGGTAATAAATTTAACTCACATGAAGTGAAAACTGCCCAGAAGTAGAGGGTAACCTAATGTACAAATGCTCAGTGCAGAATCTACAAGAGACAGTGACTAATTCATGATTACTCTCCTTATAAAGTTTATATATACATACATTTGAGAGATGGCTTACAAGTTCCAGATACGAAGCTCTTAGGACTAGGAACATATTTATTTCCATCATCACAAAGTCTCTGAGCAAGGAGGGCCAGGAAGGAGGCATTTAATCCAGTTACCTGCTGACTTACTTTATCCATGTGTGGTGTAAATATGTTTCAGCCAGGCAGGTCTGCCCGGGAATAGTTATCGGAATTTACTTCAGCAAGTCATTTAAAAAGTTACTCACAGGAAATTTTAAAAATTAGAAAAAAGCCAAAATAGACCACATAGAAAACTGGCAGATCTCAGCTGCCTTCAATGCTTACCTCTAGGGAGATGGACGATATCATTTTCGCTAGGCGTGGGCCACAGGGGAACCTCCAGGTCAACCTCTCCTCGATGGTTTGTCTTCTCAATGGGTATATTGGTTGGTTCTGGGACATACATTTCTAAAAGAAGGGAACATTTTTCATAAGAGATGATGAAGCTGCTGTCTTGCTGGCTTTTGTATTTTCAATCCAAATGGTGCACTCAATTCAAGCCCACATTTCCTGGGACGTGAAAGATGCAGTTTCTGCCATTTACATCATTGATGCTAGAGAATCACAAGCTTTGCAGTGAGAAGGAACGTGTCTTGTAACATTTAAAAGACAAAAGAATTCTCTACTCCACCAGGGTCAAAAACTGCTTTTTCACGTTCAAATAGTGTTGGTTTTATAACTTTATGGAAACTGAAGGGGACTAGCTGAAGTGGAATTATTTCTTTTTTTTTTTTTCTCTTGAGATGGAATCTTACTCTGTTGCC